AAAAAAAAAATTAATAGAAGCTGTCAATTGCAGAAAACAATGAACACATTAATTACATTAGCTTGTCTAGTGATCTTTGACTTCTTTATTAATTATCTTAAGTACCTCCATTAATAAGGTTCTTCAAGAATGGTGCAAGTAAGTAGCTCTCTCAGGAAAAATAAAACACTAGAAAGCCTGAAAATGTGAGCAAGGTTGAAGAACTGCAATAACTCCACCACATAAAAGTGATTTCCATTGTCCAGACTGCAGCAAGTGCACAATGCTTAATGACATGGAGTGTACGCTTCCAGCAAATTGTGGAAAACCTACTCCAATGTGATGAATTAAAAGAAAGAGTTTGGCTTCCTTGGACGTGTGGAGAAAACGCTATCTGCAATCACATCCACAATGAGAACCATGCGATAGCTAAGATTACTCTGGCTTTCACACTAGACAGTTTTGCTTGTTTTAACCCATAAAATGCCATCCCAGGAAATGGGTTAGAAGAAGGTATTTCAAAATGTGGTGTGCATGTTTATCTATACCTGGACCATCTTATGATACAATGCAGTTCTGATTCAGCAGTCAGGCCTGGGATTTTCACTTCCGAGTAACTGCAAAGTAGCCAGGAGTTAGAATTGCAACAAAACAAGTAAAAGTAGAAACTAGGAGGAAATGGGGAGGAGCTCATAATACAGAATATTCTGGCACATTTTTCAATTCTTTTGCCATTATTACAGGTGTATTTTTATTAGAGTGTCTGTTAACAGTTCTCACTTTTGTCCTGTCCTTTCAAGTGTCTCCTAATTGCTATGGAAGACTGATAATACTCAAATTAGAATGATGACAACATTATGGTGTTGAAAAAAGAAAAGGAGGACCAGAATTGAGCCTAGGTCATTCCAAGAGAAATTATTCTTGCCAATTACCAATAAACCATGAATTAATTTAACTTTAACCTCTATAATATTGACAGCTTCAAGACTGTTACCCGATGAACAATAGGGTTGAAGTTGGACCAAACCAGTATTTAAAACGGAATCTTCCAGATGACTAAATATTTAATTGCCAATTATATTAAGTGGAGACACCATATATAAAAATGAAAATTCTGGACAGCCAAAATGGTACTAGACTTCTAATTCTTTATCTAGAAGCCTTTTTAGAATTACCATAAACCCACTGCCACCAAGTCGATTCTTACTCGGTGATGTTAGAGGGCAGAGTATAACTGCTTAATCCACCACACCAGCAAGGCTCCTTCAGAATCCGCATCAAAACCCAAAACAAACCACATTCACTGCCATGGAGTCAGTGCCGACTCAGAGCAACACCACAGGGCAGGACAGCACTGCTCCTAGGATTTTCTAGGACTGCAGCTTCTTCCAGGAGTAGAAAGCACTGTCTCCCAAGAAGTGGCTGGTGCTGCAAACTGCTGCCTTTGCAGAT